AGCTTCCCTTTTGCTTTTCATTAATCTTTTGATTTTGATTTTCTTTACTATTTTATATGGTACCAAGATTTCATTTTATATGTATTATAAAGTTACAAAAATTCTGGGAAGAACTAAAGTTCCAAATTCAATATGGGACGCTTTAGTATTTTTTCATTCATCCCCATCCAATCAAAAAAGACTTTTGGGGAGTTTGGTAAATTCATTTCTGAAATCATAAGATAAAAAATATTTTTTTGATCAATTATTTGATAATTATTAGTAACAAACTGAGAATTTTGATTGCTATTGGCATCGATCGTGATCCAAGCCCCAATATTGACTTTTTGTCTAACATCAAAATTGATAATTTTCCAATCCAAATATTTCCTATCGGGAGTTTTTTCAATATCGCCCTTTCCTAGATAATTATTGATAGGGATACTCCTCAGCATATCAAAAAAAAAGTTTCTTTATATGTGTTGTAATTATAAGAAATCTCTTGATTCTTATTTCCTTCAAACGGCGATCTAGAAAGAAATGAGTCCTTTTTATTTTCAGAATTAATAGGTTTATATGAAAAAATATCATATTTATAGTATTTTTGAAAATTATCTTTCTGATTCAATAATGAATAGACTTCCAAAATATTTTCTTTTTGGGAATCAACTAATTGGCCTTTTTCATATAAATTCCATTTGCTGAAGTTTTTCCTTTTAACCATACGACGTTAATAAACTCTATTCCGCCATTGTTATGGTATTAATCTAGACCATTTGATCTGAGATAAATCGTATTGATAACGCCCTCTTAATCAGTTTTTCCATTTATTCATTTCAGAACTCGGAAGTCTGTTATCCTTTGATTTAGAATGAACTATTCCTTGTGTTTCAAAAAAATCATTTATTTCAGGCTTAAGATAAAAAAAAAAAAAAAAGGTTTCCTTGATATTGAAGAAATGATTTTAATTTAGACAAGTTAATAATTTGGGCTTGTGATAATTTTTAAAATACATATGCCTGCGATAAGTACGATAAGTCATAAAAAAATATGTGAATTTTTCTTACTATTGCTAATATTATAAAGTGACTTTTTTATAGTCAAAATAAACTCAATTGGATTTTGATTTTTTTTATTAATTATTTCTTGACTTGTTTTATTATTGTAAATGGATTTATTCATAATTTTTTTTTTGTTGATTCAAGAAATAATTTTCTCTTCATTCTAGGAATATTAATGATGGATAAAAATATATTTTTGTAGATTCTTTCAATGAAAAATTTAAAAACAAAAGTAATTTAGAAATTAATCGAGCATTTCTTCTTTTCAATATTTGCCATTTTTCTAATCTTTTAGCATTATAACTTGTTTTGCTAAGACTAATATTTATCTCCGGAGTTACTTTTTTTCTCTCTCTTGTTATTCTTTCTATTTGATTTCTAATTGTATTTGTTCTATTAGTCAGATCCTTCATTTTTTTCTGTCAATGAAGAATTTGTCCAATCTGGAGATGCAATTTGACTAAATGGTTTATGAATCATCTGATTGGTGATTATGGGATCTCTTTCTTTTTTAGTTTCACTCGATTCATTTACTTCTACTTTTCTTGATCGAAATAAGAGAATTGGATTTACTTTTAAGAGTTCTTTTCTTTTTCTTTTTCTTTTTTTAAAAACGACACTTTTCATAACCCCTTTTTTTGTTTCTTTTGAAACTTTTCGAAGTAATTTTATTTTTCCTTTAAAAATTTTTAGAAGTAGAAAATATGTCTTTTGAATTTTTCCAATTTTTTTCGAGTTCCTTAAAAATGGATTCCAAAAAAGAGGGTCGTTTTCTTGGAGTACTAAAAGGAAGTTTGGTTTCCATCCCCAAAATTGTTAAAAAACAAAAACCATCTTTTTCTTTTTTTCTTTTTCATTATTAGATCTTTATGAGAGAATCGGAGTTTAGATCTATGCCAAGTTTCAGACAGAAAGGAAATAAGATTTTTATCTGAATACCATCTGTCAACCAATTTTGTGAAAATTCTGTTTCAGACAATTGAACACCATTATAGGTACATTTAACACGCATCTCCCTATTCCATTCCTCTAAATCCTCATACTATTCAGGAAGTTGCAATAATAACATACGTCCAATATTTTTCCCCATTATCAATGAAGGTCATAGAATATATTTTCTAAAAAGAGATTGAGTTATTAATATGGAACCCCTTATTACTTGCGCAAATGGAATGGTATCCCATGCCTCTGCTATCTCTATTCGCGCGTTCTCCTTTCTTTTGTTCTCTTCTTTTTTGTCCTTCTGTTTTTTTCTTCTCTTTTTGCTTGCTCTTCTGTGTACTCTACAATTTTGAATGCTAACCTCCTCCCTACCCAATTTCTAAATTTTTTTTAATTGGGCTAGAGATATCAAAAGAAAAAAGAAGGGATTTTTTTATTCTATCCAAAAAAAGAGGAGAATGCATATTCGCTTGAAACAGTTCCCAAATAACTATTTTACGCCTTTGAGCACGTATAGAAACTTTTATTATGCCTCGTCTAAAATTTGATTGCTGTGAATAGTGTATCAAAGCTACTTCTTCTATTTGATTAGGAGGATTAGTATCCTCAGTATGCTCCTTGTTACCAATAAAAATTACTACACGTTTAGCTTTTCTTGAACGAATTCCATGATCTAAAGGTTCGTTTTCTTGATCTTCTCCTGCTTCTTGTTCCAACTCGGTGGTTAATTTGTATAACTAAGGAGGTACTTTTTTACTGATTTCTTTTATTCGAATCGATTTTTTACTAATTTTTTAAACATTAGTATCAATTACAATTCGATTTTTAAAATATTTTAAATATTTTGTTCCTTTTTCTGAATCTATTCTTCCTTCTTCTTTATCTGAAAATACAGAATGACCCCTAGAATTTAAAATTGATCCAGATTCTTTACCAAATTCATTGATGAAAGTTAAGAAATCAACAATTTCGGTTGATCATGGTTTTTTATCAAATCGATCTATTTTTTGTTCAATTTTTTGGTAATCAGTATCAGGAAGAATGATACCATGAATCCGATTTATCCCAACATTCTCTATGAAATTGTGTATCAAAGTTTTTTTTATTTTTATGATTGAAGGTGAAACACTTTTTGTTATTGTTCTCCGATATGGTCCGTTCAAGAAATGATCATATATTTTGGGTAAGTATTCATTTGTAGTATTGTAATTACACAACCTAGACCCTGTTTCGAGTATATTCAAAAAAAAAAAAAGATTCTTTGTCTAGAGCTTGAATTCGGTTTACAAATTAATGTTTAAATTATTACTTTTTTCTTTGTTGGTATAAACCCAATAATTGTAGAGTTCATTAGATGAGAATTTTTCTAGTGTAGGTAGGGATATCCTTCTTTTTATCATTTCCCAAAAAGTTGACAAATTGGGTGGATATGTAAAAGATATTTTTTCCTTTCCAGCACTTAGGCATGTGTCAAAAAAATATTGTGACATTTTATTTCTGACAGTACTTTCAAATTGATTATTTTTTATGTATCGAAATGGTCTATTCCAATGGTTAGAATTAAAAAAAAGAAAAGAAAAAGAGTCACGAGGTTTTTCAAACCAAAAACAAAAAAGGTCTTTATTTTTCGATTTTTTGATAAGTATTTTGAATTTGGAATTGTCATGATTCTCATTGATATTCATCATATAAGAATCTTCATAAACTGGGCTATTTTTTGAGCCTATCTCTATTAATCGAAAGTGGAATTCATCCTGTGTTTTTTCCTTCCCATTCACTCGGATTTCTTCCATTTCATCAATTTTGCTCGAATCCTCCTTTTCTTCTGAAAAAAGGAAGGAGAAGGATCTTCTTCGACGGATCTCTCTTGATCTTGTTTAGTCACCTTCATTTCATAAGCTATTTCTATTTCTATTTCTACATCTCATTCTTCCTCACTTTCCACATTTTCTTCCATTTTTGAGGTTTCTTTCCATTTCGTAGAAAGAATGGGTGACGCTATTCCACCTAAATAGTAGACACATGTTAGAAATAAGAGAATACTAAAGATCTGAGCCATAGAATTTCTCAATTCTGACACAAGGTACTTATTAGAATCTAATAGAATCATTTTGTCATATCCAGACTAATACCAATCCAAGCCATTTCGTGAATAAAATGTGCCAAATTAACCAACCAACAAAACTACTTGCTACAAATAACATCTTGTTGTTGCATCGAAACATATAAATGTTGACTAATCTGGCTAACATTGAACTTGGTAAAATGATATGGATGAATAATTGAAAAATGAGATTATTCAGGAATACACATTGAATGCTAAAATCATGCATTGAATTTTTGGTAGTAGATCCATAATCAAAAAAGTATTTGTGATTGTTCCAGAAGAAATGAAACAAAATATATGGTAGAGCTAGGGTAGTTATAGTATGAGGTCTACCCAATGCTAGATGCAGAGTCGCATAATAGATCGATATGAACATCATGAGCTATCCCATAATAAAATCAATTGTTCCTGATACCTTTTTCTTGGTTCCTTCTTCGATAACCTAAGCTCGGAGAAGGAAGAGATAAGAGGGCCCTATGGAGAATGTGGTCAGAAATCCATAATAGAGTTCGACGACAATGATCGAATTGATTATCTTCATGCATAAGGATACTAGATTACCTAGTAGAAAAGATTGAAAAATCATCACAAACCACCCTTATTTCTTTTCTATTGCAATTTTTGGATTATTATATGATGATTTTTGAACTTTCCATATATAGAAAAGAAATAGAAAGATATAGACTAGAAATGACATCTGTTATGCCAATGACACCAAAGGGATATTAAATGAATGAAATTGGGATATGGATGGAATATAATGAAATAGAGCCGCTTTGATGTTCCCTCTAAAATGAGACATCGAAGGGAGCCACTACGATGTTCCGGGAGTTACGAAAGAAGCTTCAAGCTCATATTGGTCATGGGTTGAGGACGGAAATTGAACTCTATGAGATCTAATCTCTTGTTGTTCCTCAATAGCTCAGTGGTAGAGCGGTCGGTCGTTAACCGATTGATCGTAGGTTTGAATCCTACTTGGGGAGATTTGATTCATTCTGAATTAACGAATTCAAAATAAAGGGCCTCGCTTTGACCGTTAATGGTAGGTAATATGTTCCTTGTCTTTGTTTCTATCTCATGGTATCACATTCTGTTCTATGAGATTTGAAAATCACCATCAATACCTCGATGTAGGTCCAGGATAATCCTTTGTTCTATACAACTAGCCAATTAAGAATTCTCAGATACACTAGCACTGCATCTTTAATGCAATCATCAATTCTCCTGAGAGTTCACAATTATCGCGAGCAAACATATTAATGACGAGGAAGGCATTTTTGTTATGCTACTAATACTAGTACTTGCTCTGCTATTCTGCCCAAGCCTAGCTGAGGAAGAGTTACAGGGTGTAAAATAAGAAAATACGCTAATGGGCGGGGGGCATACTATTTGTAATGATTCCATCATTCATGATAAATAATAAATAAAAAGAAAAAGCCATTCCAAAGACCTACACCTAAGTTCTATAGCTTTTGGTCCGTTATCCCAATTATGATTTTCCTAGCCCCAGAGGGAAAGGTACTTCCCTTTTGTTTCGGGCCGATTGTGGGCGAGGAGGAATTCGAACCCCCAACACCGTGGTTCGTAGCCACATGCTCTAATCCTTTGAGTTACAGGCCCTACCCCGTCTCCATTGGATCTGGCCCAAGGAGTACCCGAAAAAAAAAGAACCTTTCGTCTCCCCTCCCAACCATTTAATTTCGGGTTAAGAAGATGTGAAAGCACGTTTATCTCTATAAGAACGGTGGGCTACGAGGTGTGAAGTAGGAGAGAAGGGATGTCATAATTGGGGTTTTGAATAAGACAACCTTTTGATTTTTCATTTTTTTTGTTGAAAAGGGAATAAGAATGAGAGGTGTTAAGCTTTTTATCATCCTAGCGTCGAGCTATTTTTCCGCAGGACCTCCCCTATAGTATCGTCATCATAGTAGAGTTTAACCACCATGTTCAGGATGGATTGGTGTGGTTCTTCTACGCCTAGGACACCAGAATATCGAACCATGAACGAAGAAAGGCATGAGAGAAAAGTCTATTAGCTAGTGATTGTGAGGCCCCAATTCTTGACTGGAGGGGACACCAAAGGCCTCTGCCCTTCCATCCCTTGGATGGATAGAGAGGGAGGGTAGAACTTTTGGTTTTTTCATGTTGTCAAAGAGTTGAACAATGGTCTTTTGTGTTGTCAAAGATCTTAACAATGAAAATAGATGGCGAGTGCCTGATCAAATTGATCAGGTCATATAGGAACAAGGTTCAAGTCTATCAATCTGTTAGGATGCCCCAGCTACATACATCACTGCACTTCCACTTGACACCTATTGTAATGATAAACAGCTCGTCTCACCGTTACCTTCTCTTGGATTCTCAAAACTTCTATCGCTCCATCCCCGCAGGGGTAAAGAACCTATCCCTATCTCAGCTATGCTGTCAGAAGCTCTGGGAAAGTCGGAATAGAAGAGCACTCATCTTGGGGTCGGCTTACTACATAGATGCTTTCAACAGTTATCTACCCAGCGTTTACCGTGGGCACGATAACTGGTACACCATATGTGTGTCCTTCCTATTCCTCTCGTACTAGGGAAAGGTCCTCTCAATGCTCTAACGCCCACAACAAATATGGACCAAACTATCTCATGATGCTCTGAACCAATTCACGTACCAGTTTAATGGGTAAACAGCCCAATCCTTGGAAATACTACAACCCCAGGTGGCGAAGAGCCGATATCGAGGTGCCAAACCTTCCCATCGATGTGAGCTCTTGGTGAAGATCTGCCTATTATCCCTAGAGTAACTTTTATCCGTTGAGCAACGGCCCTTCCACTCAGCATCGTCGAATCACTAAGGTCGACTTTCGTCCCTCCTCGACGGGTGGGTCTTGTCATCAAGCTCCCTTCTGCCTTTGCACTCGAGGGCCAATCTTCGTCATGCCCGAGGAAACATTTGTACGCCTCCGTTACCTTTTGAGAGGCCTACACCCCATAGAAATTGTCTACCTAAGACTCTCCCTTGGCCCATAGGTCCTAACACAAGGTTAGAATTCTAGCTCTTCTAGAGTTGTATCTCACTGATGGCTCCCCCCCTGGAAGGAGGCCTTCTTCTCCTTCTGCCTAAGCTGCGCAGGAAAGGCCCAAACCCAATCCCAGGGAACAGTGAAGCTTCATAGGGTCTTTCTGTTCAGGTGCAGGTAGTCCGCATCTTCACAGACATGTCTATTTCACCGAGCCAATCTCCAAGATAGTGCCTGGATCGTTACGCCTTTCGTGCGAATCAAAACTTACCCGACAATGAATTTTGCTACCTTAGGACCATTATAGTTACGGCCACCATTCACCGGGGCTTCGGTCACTAGCTCCCCAATCATCAGGCCACCAACTTCCTTGACCTTTCGACACTGGGCAAGCGTCAACCCCCATACATGGTCTTATGACTTCACGGAGACCTGTGTTTTTGGTAAACAGTCGCCCGAGCCTAGTCACTACGACCCTCTTTGTAAAGAGGCACCCCTTCTCTCGAAGTTGCGGGGCTATTTTGCCGAGTTCCTTAGAGAGAATTATCTCACGTCCCTAGGTATTCTCTACCTACCTACCTATGTCGGTTTTGGGTACATGCACCCTTTTGTTTAAAGGTTGTTCGAGCTTTTCCTGGGAGTATGGCGTGGGTTACTTTAATGCCGTAGCGCCTGGTGCTTGAAAATTAGCTCGAGGCATTCTCTCTAACCCTTCTTACCCTGAAAAAGTAGGGGCATCTTACGTTCTTGAACCGATAACCAACTTTTGACTAACGTACCCTCCTCCATCCCTCGAGACCAAAGGGTAGTACAGGAATATTCACCTGTTGTCTATCGACTATGCCTTTCGGCCTGATCTTAGGCCCTAACTCACCCCCTGTGGATGAACCATGAGGAGGAACCCTTAGGTTTTCGGGGCATTTGATTCTCACCAATGTTTGCGTTACTCAAGTCAACATTCTCGCTTTTGCTTCATCCACCACTGCTCACGCGGGGGCTTCCTTCTAAGGCGGAACGCTCCCTACCAATGTATTTTTACATCCCACAACTTCGACAGATCGTTTAGCCTCATTCATCTTCGGTGCAAGAGCACTCGATCAGTGAGCTATTACGCACTCTTTCAAGGGTGGTTGCTTCTAGACAAACCTTTTGGCTGTCTCTACACCCCAACCTTCTTTATCACTGAGCGATCATTTAGGGGCCTTAGCTGGTGATCTGGGTTGTTTCCCTCTCAACGATGAAGCTTATCTCCCATCGTCTCACTGGCCGACCTTGACCCCTATTATTTTGAGGTCATATCTAGTATTCAGAGTTTTCCTCAATTTGGTACCGCTCTCACGGTTCGCACTGAAATAGTGCTTTATCCTTAGATGTCCAGCCAACTGTTGTGCCTCAACGCATTTCAGGGAGAACCAGCTAACTCTGGGTTCGAGTGGCGTTTCACCCCTAACCACAACTCATCCGCTAATTCTTCAACATCAGTAAGTGTGGACCTCCAGTTAGTTTCACCTAAGCTTTATCCTAGTCATGGATAGATCACCCAGGTTCGGGTCCATAAGCAGTGATAATTGCCCTATGAAGACTCGCTTTCACGGTGGCTCCAATAGGTTTCCTTAACCAAGCCACTGCCTATGAGTCGTTGGCTCATTCTTCAACAGGCACGCGGCCAGAGACCTTGCTCTTCCCACTGCTTAGGAGCTTATAGTTTCATATTCTATTTCACTCTCCGATGGGGGTTCTTTTCACCCTTTCCTCATGGTACTACTTCGCTATTGATCACCCAGGAGTATTTAGCCTTGCAAGGTAGTCCTTGCTGATTCACATGGGATTCCACGTGTCCCTTGCTACTCGGGTCAGAGTGTAAGCTAGTGATGCTTTTGGCTACTAGACTTTCACCATCTAGGGTGCAACATTCGTGCTACTTCGCCTAGTAGCACGAGACTGGGGTTGCTCTCCCATAATCCTATTTTCATGGTTTAGGCTGCTCCCATTTCACTCGTCGCTACTACGGGAATCAATTTTACTTTTTTTTATCTGGCTACTAAGATGTTTCAGTTCGCCAGGTTGTCTCTTGCCTACCCATGGATTTAGCAGCAGTTCGAAAGGTTGCCCTATTTGGGAATTTCCAAATTTATACTTATTTTCAACTCCCCAAAGCATTTCATCGATCACTGCGCCCTTCATCATCTCTAGGTGCCTAGGTATCCACCGTAAGCCTTTTCTCGTTTGAACCTCGCCCTTCTAAGGCTATACCATCCTAAGGTGCTACTAAACAGATGTATCTTATCAACGTGCATGAATGATAAATCATAGATCGAACCATCGAATCGAAAAAATTGGGTGCTACCATATAGCTTTCTATCGGCTAAGTTCATGGGTTGGAGATAAGCGGACTCAAAACACTGATATCTGTCACAGGGTAAACCACCGCCTCTCAGGCACCTGACTAATTCTACCATAGAGGTCGACGATAGACAATAACTCTCCTTGAATACAGCTTACAATTTTCATCGTACTGTAGTCTCCAAAGAGCAATTCTTCTTAAAATCTCACTCAAAAGGTGCTGAGTTGGAATCCCATTCTAATAAGGATTCTTGTGGTTCCGGAGGTCCCAGCTATAGAAGAACCAGGAATGGAGAGCTTTCTCCCCTTTTCACTCGACTCTTTGGTCTTAAAAATGACAGTTTTTATAATGAGTGATTGCCCTTCTCTAACCCTTATTGCCCAACCTGAGAACAGACAGCTAATGAGTTTCACTTATTGAACAAGGTTCTATGGTCAGTCTGTGACCCTTGGATGCCAAAGGTACCCTTGGGGTGATCTCGTAGTTCCTACAGGGTAGAGATGATGGGGTCGATCCATGGATTTTCTTTTCTTTTCTTTTGTCGCATTTCGCTCAAAGGGTTGAAGGGAGATAGTGCATCAAGCTATTCGCAAGGGAAAACTTGATCCTCTTTCCCAGGGATCTTAGATGAGGGA